AAGTCTATAAGTTCACAAGTAGATACATTAGTTAGAAGATGGATAAAAAATATTAACTGATTACTATGCAATAAAATCAAAGATCCAGTAATAAAGAAAGATCTCATTCTGAATATTATAAAAATTAAGGTATATAGTAACAATAAGTATAATATTTATTTAAATCTCTTTGCAAAACAAGAGATATGAGAGAATCCAATAGTATGGTACCAATTTTCCGAATTAAAAAAAGTTCTAACAATATCCATATAGAAAGAATATATAATAGATATCAGTATTAGAGATTTTATCAAAACTTTTAATAGGAAAAAGATCAAATTAGATTGGACTTTACAAGATATTTGAATTTAATAAGACAACAACTTAGATTAAATAGTCTTTTGAAATCAATTTAATCTAACCAATATTTTCTATATCTTGTTCAAAGTCAATAAAAACAAAAGTTTTCTAACTAAATTAACTTATAATAAACTTCTAATATTATTGATACTCAAGAAAAGAAAACTCAATATCTATAATACAATCATCTTCTCAATATGTAAGCTTCAAGAAAAAATATTAGAACATCTATTTTAAATGTTTGGCCATTATAAAAACCAAAAAAAAACATATGAAAAATGGTGAAAAAAAAAGCTTATCCATTATATTGGCAAAGAAATAAAAAATGAGAAAAAAATCTTATCCATAATCAATAATTAGATAGAAAACTAGTTAAAGGAGATTCAACAATTTGACAGAAGTTTCTTTAATATTATTTGTGAATATATAGAAGAAAACAAAACTATTTTTTAAAAAAGTTATCTCAAAGAACAATTCAAAATCTCTTCAACATCTATACAAACTATAATCAATAAGCTTTACTAAAAAATATAAAAAAACTTTAAGGAGAAAATTTAAAATATTAGATATATTAAATGATAGAATGTAAGAAGAAACTAAATATTACTAGAAGAGAAAAAAGATTTAAAATATTTAATATAAGTTTATTGAACAAATTATACAAGATCAAGAAAAACTTATATTATCTTCAATTAAAAATTTAGGTTAAGAAGAAATAAAAATAAATAAAAATAAAAAAGGATTATACAGAAATTATTAAGAATTGGATTTGTTATGAAATAAAATAGTTTGGTTTTTAACTATAAGCAAAATTTAGAATAATCTATAGTAATGATTTGTAAGTAATGATTTTGTTATTTAAGGAGTATTCTAAATAGAAAAGAAATAAAATATTATTTCCTAAGTTGCAATTAAAGAAATAATTTTTGATGATAAGTAAGTCAGTATTTGAAAGTTAAATAATTTATAGATATTATGTATTTATATAATAAAGATAGTTATGTTAACCTGATTGCATATTAAAAAAAAATAATAATAAATAAAATGAAATTTATATTTATATTTTTTAAAATATCAAAAATAAGATTGTTTAAAAATTTTTTTCAAAATATTTTATGAAATTATAAATATTTAATTTGAAAATAAATAATTAATTTTTTATAATATAAATAAAAAATTATTTTATGAGTATATTTATTAAATAAAAATAAATAATTTTTCTTAATTTTATAATTAATTTTTTATAAAAATTTATTATAATAAAAATTATATTTTTTACTAGTTTTTATATATAAATTTAATATAAAAAATTTATTAATAAAATAGTATTTATTCTTTATTGTTTCAAATTAATACTTTGTAATAAAATATTAATTAATATTTAATAAAAACTTTAAAATATTTTTATTATAAGATTATTATAATTATATATTTAAAGTTTTATTTAAATTCAATAATTATTTATTAAATTTTAATAGAAAATATTTATTCAAAAACCTTTGCATTAGACTATATATATATTTATTTTATTTATATATATAGTGAAATATATAATACACAAGTACAATTATTTTATATTTAACTCATTTAATTTATAATAATAAATTTTATTTTAATTAAATATTTTTTGATTTTTAATTTAAATATGATTGTTTCAAGTTTTTTATTTTTATAATTAAATTTTATAATATATAAATCTATATTAAATTTTTTATAAGATTTTAAATAATATAATTTTGCTAAATTTTAAAATCATTTTTTTTTTTTTTTAGAAATATCAAAGATATTATATTTTAAATATATATAATAATATTGTAATTAAAAATATTTTGATATTTATAAAATAATTAATATTATAATAAAATTAAAAAAAAATTTTTAGAATTGATTTTTTAAATTATAGAAAAAAAAATTTTTTAATACAATATATTGTGATTAGCAAAAGATATCACAAATAAAAATATGATAAATTTGTTTTAAAAGTTTAATAAATAATTGATAGCAATAATTAATTTAAAAGAATTTTTATTCGAAAATAAATTTTTAAAAATAAATAATTATTGATATTTTATTTAAAAATTTTAAGAAATAAAATATATGATAAATATTTAATGATATATATTATCTAATAATATATAATAATATAATATAATAAAATTAATATATATAATCTTATTCAAAAAAATTGATTAAAATATAATATCAAAAAATTCATAATATGAAAATTTTGTATATAAATTAAATCAGTAAAACAATTTTTGTCAATATTAAAAACAAATTTATTAGTAATATAAATTTTATACAAACAGCCATCAAAAAATAATAACAATATTATTATTTATTATGAAAATTACAAGATTTGATTAAATATTTTGGATTATTTAATTTATTTTTTAATCAAAAAATATCTTTTAAAAATATATTTGAGGATTGTAATAAAAGTTAATTATCAAATTGGCATTTTTTTTTTCGCCAACACTGTAATACAACATATACAGTAAAAGATTACGTTTGAATAAATAAATGATTTTTTATTTCTATCCTTTTTAAAAAAAAAAATTTAATTCGATGCATCATTCATTACAATAAGGTATAAGATTTAATAAAGGATAATTGAGCTGCAGAAAAAGCGGTGTATTCGAATGCGTACTTGACAAGATGAATCCATTGTGCATGCGATAACTCAAATGTTTGAAGATAATTACGTACTGTACGTATTGAAAACTCTTGTGGTCGATTGGTCGATTGGTTGATCTAGCCACACTTAAATATTGCGCCTCCAGTAATATGTACATATTTGCCTAATCCTTTTATCGCATCCCCTTGTTTCTTCAACAAGCTAATTCTTTATGCCCATGCTTGTTTACGCACGCACATCCTCCACTCGTACCACCTGTCACTATATGGGACCTTATGAGGTTATATTTTTTAATTTAATCATGGAGAAAAAGTTTACAATGGCTACAACGAAACCATTTCTAAGCTTTGTGTGTTCTCACACATTACGATGAAAGTAAGTAGCACTGTACATACAGTACAATGGAAACGAGATGTCGGATCTCCTTTATTTTATTCTATTCTATGGCGCAATTTTTGTATGTATAGAACGGACAATATGTGTGAGAATCATCTTTATTTCCTTTTACGAAAAATCATCCTGTTGATGTCTTTATGGACAAATTTATTCAACAAGTAAAAATTTTACCGAATTCAACCAACAATAAGATGTGCGTTAGTAATTTTGCATAGGGCTAACATAAGCAAACTATATTGATATCAATTAATATTGCTTTAAATTTCATGCACCTTGTTCTCGGTTTACATTTAAGACTTCCGACGAGATTTCACAAAAACTCGTATCGAGAGCTAGATGCGTACCACGATGTACTTATATACGTAAAAAGGCGTATTTAAGTTGTATTACTGTAAAAATAATAAATACACTTGCAAAGTACTTTTTTTATACTCAATTATCTCTTTTTCCCTTGTTCTCATCCTCGATTCGAATACGAGTATATGCTCTCGCTCCTTCCAGTACATACGTTCATCCCCCCCTTGTACATACTTGCACATTAAATTAGATAGAAATCAGACACATCAACAATATACGATAGTAGAAACGAATTAAAACTTCTTTTCGGCTCACATGAGCATTCACAGTATTTAACACGTACGAATCGACACAACGCTCAAAAGACGACGATGCATGAAATAGATTTATGAATTAAATATTGAAGTACAACAATCATAAAGGTTATTTATCATACATTATAATATGAACTCGGAATTTTTATCTTCCGATCATTAAACTTTAGATTTGGTCTAGCGCTCACGCTAGAGCGAAACAAAATTAAGTAGAATTAAAGGGGGTGAAAAGTAATTTGTTACGGTTAATTTACAAAAGATTTGGAAATGTCAACAATACAATCATGTCGATATTATTTTGAATTTACGTATCATCCTTCATGTACTTATGATGTTCATTCTATTCTATATATATATATATTATTCGCTGCATCTAGGTCAACTTTAAATCCGAGACACATAACTAACGGAACGAAAACGACGGACGGAAGATTTATTCCAACACACTTTTGCGAATAACTATTTCGAAAAAAGAAAAAAGAGAAATCGATCGAGCATTCATTCTTTTTATAATTGGTTGATGCTCTTGTTATTAAAGAATTGTCTGCTCTGCTCTTTCATTATTTTAAATTGTACGTTCAATAATGACTCATGCTAGCGACTTAACATATCTGAGTATGTATTTTGTTATCAAACGTTCTTTTCGTTTGAACTCGATAACTTTATTATTATTGGTATTGCTCATTTGCGGTCTCTTAAGGTATTTTTTATTCATTCGATTTTTTCAACAGCACGTGCGGTGTTCACTGCATGGACCTTCCTTTGGTTCTTGCAACGCGTGTGGAGCATGAATCGATTCGAGGCTTTGAGATGGAATCGAATAAAGAGATTGGAGTTGGTAAGTGTTCTGTCTGTTTTAAGCGATCAGCTCGTCTATCCTTGATGGAAAGACGACAGTTCTTGTCATTTATTCCGATTAATTTGGTTTTTCTTTTTAACGCCCTTCTCGTTCTCTCCTCCTTTACCACCTCGCCTGTGATTTGTAGAAATCATCGATCACCACTCTTCTTTGTCTGATGTGCCCCCTACAGCTCACCTATGACGCGGTTGTCACTTACATCAAATACTCTGAAGGTTACCTGATGGTGCCCGTCACTGGAGAAATCATCACCAAGCCGGAAGAATACTGGAACAACTTTCACCAACAAGTGTCAATTCCACTCGATTACGTGCTAGGTGTGAGCTTCAGTGTTCAGACGTATGTGTTTTAAATGACGAACGTTATTGGTTGTTTTTCTTCTTTCCTTTCATTTATTTGTTGTATTGTAACTAGGTGCTTGCTCTTCTTATTACAATCATTTTGGAATTATCTCGCAAATAATATTGCCAAGACGAGTTTCATGGGTAGCTTTGGTATTTATCCTCGCGCTTTGACATCTACTGTATATCATGATTGATAATATTATATTGCACATTTAACCTAATTTATCAATCTTGGTTTTAAACTTACTTTCCCTCCTCGAAGAATTCAAATCATATATAGTCTATTCAATATTCAGTTTCGCCCTCTTTCCATTATTACAATGGATTTTTCGTGAGAACGAGGTATACACCGAGGCCATGCCGCAACTTGCGTACGGTGCCATTATGTTCATCATTGCACTTTTGGGTGTGAGGTCGAATCAGAGATTCTCGCGATTGTTGGGAAAACCAAAGATTTCCAATGCACCGCAGGCGAACATAGTGGCCAAATTAGAGTACTTCAAGGTCAATACACTTCTCGTGAAATAATACTCGTCAAGTCTGAATTTTTCGTTCCTGAGTATCCAATTAATCGCGTTACTTTTGGCATATCTACAGGAGATGAATCAATATCTAACATGCGCCCTATTCATCGGATCGGCCTCTATTATCGCATTGAGCGTTGACGCGTTGACACCCGCCAGATTTCTTAACACTCACAAATTTGCCATAGATCTTTTAATATGTCACGCCAATTTTACCATCTGGATCGTGTTTGTCACTTTAATCCTCATCTTTTATCCTTCCGCAAATTCTCTTCCCGAATTGGTCACCGAAAAAGGTCTAGCATCAACAATTGTCATAAAATCCATGAAAGGTAACTTTTCAGAGCCCCCAGATAATAAACGATGGCCGAGACTTGCCCCAGCAAGCGAGAATAGCCCGTGGTCATCACAAATCATATCGAAAAACGACCGTGTAAGTTGGTATTTGGATATGCCCGACGACTCGAGTAGCATCCCCTCCACTCCAATCACTACAAAGAACTACCATGATCGAAATTTCGGTGTATTTCAGAGTGGCGATGGATCAGTGACATTGGACATTTTTCCTCCTCAGTCCACATCACCGCACGGACCCCAAGGCGCACCATCTTCATTCTACTTCTCATCCAATGCACTGCTTCCGAGTCCCACTTATCCACCCCAGGTTGCGAATCAAAATTCGGTTCTGCCACCACGAATCACTACACAGCATAATAGCCGGCGCTCGGTTAGTTTCTCGAAACCGTCGCCTGTCGAATCTCTAAAATACCCCTCGTCACCCGTGAAAAATAGAAATAGTTTGACATCGTTGAACTCCCTGCCAACATTTCCACCGCCTATTACCCCTCCGCCTACAACGTCGCCGCCACCCATTCCTACGTCGAAAAGTGTGCCGGTAACTTCCATTATGACAAGTTTATCAACGGGGACATCTCCGAAAAGAACTCAGAGGTCCGTGCCATTAAACGTTCCCAACACTCCGATAATCAGAGTAACCGACTCGCAGACCTCATTAAGATCAAAAGCACTGTTTCAAGAGATTGGAAGTGATGTCTCTGTGAGATCGAAAGTATCGCAGGAAAATAATGACACAAACGTGATAGTAAATGAGAAATCTACGATCAATGCCACCACGAAATTGGACACCAGAGTGGTGGCGCCTTTCATGTTCCAGGACGAGCCACCTCCAAGGGTGGTCACCGTTGCTCTGGCAAACGACAGGAATGAGGAAAATATGAAAGATATCGAAAATGCTACTTTAAACATTGAACAAAGAAAATATATAGAAAAAGATAGAATAATAGAGACCAATAAAACCATAAACGATTCAGAGAAACAATATTTGAAGGAAGATGATGGAAGTGGCAATGAAAAACAAACTTTGGAAACGTCATCATTCGAATATTCGCAAGAGGAAGTTCAAAGTGATTTTAGTAATGCCGATGAAGATTCTTTTGCTTTAGAGAAATCACTAATTAAAATATCACCCTCGATAAAAGAAGGATCGGATGATGAAAAGAATTCTTTACTTTCTTCATCAATTTCACCCACAAAATCCAGCTCATCAAAATCGGCGACCCCGACACTCACAATAACAACAAAATCATCTCTGCAAGCTACATCACAAAAACCAAAGTCAACTTCACGTACGAACACGGTCAAAACATCTTCAGCTGTAACGCCACTTAAGTCGGCACTTAAGACCAAGTCACCAACCAGCAAGTCACAAAAGTCAACAGCATCGCCTGTTTCCTCTGAAAGCAGCTCCCGAACCTCATCACCGACATCACCTTCGACACCAGTCAACTCTCTAGCTACGCCGCTGTCGCGTGTCTCAACGCCCATTAATAATAACAAGAAGGTGGGATCAAATATATCTTCGCGGACGTCGTTGTTGGTATCCAACAACAATAAAGCTAAGTCGACCTCGACCGGAAATAGTGCAAGACGGGGGAATGATGTAAAAAACAGGGTCATTAAGAATTCACCAGAAGCTGTCGTTAGCGGCAACAGTAAAAATATGGGTCGAAAATCAGAAGGCGCCCCGGAAAGTTATGTCGACAAACATGTGGGCTCCAAAGATACAAAAAATGCGACTGACAAGCCACAGACGCGAGAAAGATCCGACAGCGGTTTTCACGGGGATGATCTGAATTTAATCGTGCCAAGTGAAAGCAGCTATTTGGAAATCGGGAAAGACGGCGGTTTAAAAAATGAAAAGATCACGAGCTCAAGTAGAGAAAAAAATATCCGCTCAGAAAATAAGAAGATGGTGGGTTCAAAGAGCGAAAAGAAAGCCAACTTGAAGAGCGAGAAAACTGTTGACTCAAAGGATGAGAAAAAAAAATCAAAGGATTCTGATTTAAAAAGCGATAAAAGCAATCGTAGTAGCTTAAAAGATGTGAAAAAGATCATGGGAAGAATTAGATCGAGTAGCTCTTTGAGTACTTCGAGCAGCGAGAGTAGCAGGAGCAGTTCGAGTAATTCAAAGTCAAAAAAGATTAGCATTCGCATGTCGGGGTCATCATAGATAACTAGATAAAATCAAATTATTATTACTGTATTATTATGATTGTCATTATGACTTTATTAAAATGGACAATTGTAGTTTCTCAAAATATTCGATTCTTAAATTACAGTATTTGCTCATTTTGTATTTTTTTTGTAAAATAAAAATAAAGCATTTTTTTCGTCTTGTTATTGTAGAAAACAGTAAAATAAAGCATGATTATTCCGCTCATAAAAAATCGATTCAACCTGTGTGCCATACAGTTCTTGGATAACGAATATTTGATTAAAAAACCAAGGCAGCATCACATAATTAAGAATAAATTTACTAACGAATAATAAAGAAACCATTGATGGAAAGAAAATATTATAAACGAGAGAATCGATAACAATGATTTCAATCCTTTTTGAAAAAAAGCATACATGGGTATTGATTTACACAATGCACTTTTGTTTTTGAAGAGTTTTTTATAAGCTTTCATCAAAATATTACATGACAGTATACTGTATTGCCTTTTAAATTTTATTCTGGGAATTAGAACTCTATTTAGAATGTAAAGGGTCTGCTTATATATAATTTTTTTTCTTTTTTAACATTCTTGTGACTGTTTATTTCCTTTAAAATTCATTCTTTTAACTCCAGTAATTGTCTATCTGGATTTTCAGAAATTCAGCTTGTTCAACTTTATCTAGTTCTTTTACTATTTTATTATCAATGTCCGCTTAAATTTTTTTCAAATAGGGGTTGCTGTTAATCTAAGAATAATTTGTTTTGTATAAGATTTTTATTACTATATTTCTAAGACTTGTTTTTTTTTTTTTTTTTTAATATTAAGTTTTATATAACAGTAACTTTTTGTTATATTATTTTGAATTTTATATAGTAGAGAATTATAAAGATTCTTTATAAAAGAGTAAAATAGGTTTTCTTAATCAATTCTATTATTTTCCATTATGGATTTTATGAAAATAAAGTATTTTTTAATATACAGTATATATTTTTTGATTTCTTTATTTTAAAAAAGATCTACAGTATAATAAACTTAATAAAATTATCCAAAACTTTGTTTATTTTATATGATTTTTTTAAAATATTTGAACTTACAGTATATCTAAAATAAAATAAAATTTCAAAAAACTTTAAAAGATAGAATAATAATAAATTATTATATTTTTAATATTAATAAATAAAATCAATTAATAATAAAAATAAAATAAAATTACTATATAGTTATTTTTAAATAAAAGCAAATATATATAGTATATAATATATTGTATATTTTGTTATATTAAATATTATATTTAAAAAAATTGATATAAAAAATTTTAACTATTATTTTATTCAATTTATCAAAAATTACGTGATTATTATAATTTCAACAAAAATTAATCTTTAAAATTTTTTGTAAATAATGGTTTAATAAATAATCATTTAATTTAAAAATATACAATACAATTTAAAAACAAAGATTTTAAATTTTTTATAAATTTTTTGATATAAAAATATATTTGAAAGATATAAAATTATAAACATTTTATTTTTGATAAAAAATATTATAAAGATATTTATTTATTTATTTTTAAGTACTAGTTTATTATAGAAATATTTATTTTTGAATAATTATTTTTATAAATTAAATAATTTTATTTTTATTAAAACTTTATTATTATTATTATTATAAATAATCTACAATTAAATTAAATTAAAAGAACAGTAAAGTAATTCTTTTCACTAATCCTTAAATTTTTAGAAAAATTCTTTTTATAGTAATTTTTTTAAAAAAAAAACCTTTTTACAAGAAACAATCTCAAGAAGAGATAGCAATAGCAATAATTTTTTTTTATATAATATACAGTTGACTCCTGACAACAACAAAAGGACAATGCTAATTAGTAATGATATCCTTATACTTTTAATTTGCTTTAGGAAGAAGAGAAAGCAAAGATAAATTAATTTACAATAGGCTTCTTGAGACTCAACACCAACTTCACAAAGCTTTTAACTAGGCCAGTACAAATTAATATCTTTTTAAGCATTAAGAGAGGTTTCAAATCTATTATTCAAACTGATAAATTGGTTCAAATTCAGGACTCAAAAAATTTAAAAAATATATTCAAATTTCTTGAATTAAATAGTAAAAATCAGTAATAAACAATCTCAACAATTGATCTATTAGCTCATATTATATAAACACAAATATATAAAAGTAAATAGATTCTCAATGTGACAAAACAACAATTTATAACATGTCAATATATTGCAAAATAGTAATACATATTAATTTAAATGCATTACAAGCAGTAAACAAGTAATATACATATAGATAAACAAAACCAGTACATAATATCAAAATATGTAGATAAACAATATATTGGCAAAGATTATTTATTATATAACCCAATATAGTTTTTTATTTATAGATCACTATGCAAAAAAACAATAAAATATCAAAACAAATCCAATATATGTAATAATTTTTCTATCTCATATAATAACATGACTTAAAAAAAGCAAAACATTATCAGAATTCTAGAAAGATATAAGAAAGAAATCCTAAAAATATTAGGAAATATTGTTACCAGTTATAATACCTAACAAGAACTATAAAAGATAAAAATACTTTAATATAAGTTAAGGCATAAGACAGGAGATCAATCACATATTCCAGTAGAATTAATTTACATAACCTTAATATTAGACAATATTATTGCCACTCTATTAAATATAGATTTTTTAACTTTGACTAAAGAATATACTATATATTGAGAAAATATATTATCACTTTGTGGAAAAAGTAACAAGGTAAGAGACAGGACCTAGAAGCTTCTATATTTAAAAAAAAGATATGTAACATATTAACAAACAAAATAGAAATTTGTACCTCAAGTCACAGTATAAAAGAATATATAGAAATAGATAATATTCAAATGGACATTTAATCAACTTTTATGAAAACTGAAGAAATCAACCTAATTAAAGAAGTAAAAATGGAAGACAGGACTATAACAGAGTAAGTAAAAGTAGAAATAATTAAAGAGATAATCCAAGGAGCCTGTATCACAAAAAATATCTCTTATAATACATGAAATAGGATACATGGTTCTATAGTTAATCCCTACTATATTAAACAATGGATACAATAAATTGGGAGTGCTTTAAGCTATACTATCAAGAGATAACAAAGAAGAAGGAATCAAATTTCTCAAGAAAATTTTAAGTATATTCAAGAGAATGAATCTCTTCAAGACTGAACTTATCAATAGCAACCATTGGATCACTTTTAGTATTGATGAAAAGGAGGATACAGAATGATGTTTAAAATCAATTAATAAAAAAGAAAAGAAAAATTTTTCTATTAAGAAAATAAATTAAGATAGAAGTACATATCCAATCTTTTAAAGATACAGTATACTGGAATAAAATATTTTTTAAGCCAGAAAACTTTCCTTTAGCGAAAAACCAATCAACATATATTATATTAGTGAACATAGAACACAAATGTAATAAACAATCAATTAGGAAGGCAATGGAAGAATATGAGGAAATAATTAATATTTATGAATATTGTATGGCTTTTTATCAAAAAAGATTCAGAATCCATCTATTCACATATTGTGAGCATGCCAAACTGGAACAACACTAGGTACTCAAAATTAAATTCAATTAAGTAAGATCAATAATAATCCACAAAAAACTGGATAATTAAGAAATAATTCAAAACTTAAAGAAAGAAAGTATCCCTTCTTAATATTACATAGGGTTGATGAAAAATTTATAGAACAGATATTCAAATTACTCAGTCAAACAAAAGTGAAAGTCTCCTATTTTATTAAGAAATAAGATTATTCTAGTATCAGAAAATTATATAGTTATCTACTTTAAAAATGAAAAAGACATGAAAGAAACACTTCAACAACAAATTAAGATTGAGAATCAAAGCTTAATATAGAATGCAAAAAATCACTATTAGCATTAACATAAAATATCTGTCAACTTAAACAACTTATATAACTCAGACAATTCAAACAATCCTATTGAAAAAAAAGAAAATTGAAGATTTAATAGTCATAAAAAGAAAACAGACAACTATATTGAAACAGAATATCAAAATACAGCAATAATAGATATCCAGAATAATAAGAACCACTATATAAAAATTAACAGATGTACTTCAAGACCAGATCTACTAGTTACTGGTAGCAATAGAAAATCTTTAAGAAGAAGAAAAGGTTATACTCCATATAGAAAGATACAAAATTAAGGGAAAGAAATAAACAATAATGCTAATTATAGATAATAAAAGAGATAAATAACAAGATATAAGACTAGAAGCTTCAGATTTAATTCAAACTAGGAATTTGAAATATCTCAATTATATAAATTAATCAAAAAACTTGAAAAAAAAAATAGATAAACTTGAAAAAGATCCACTCAAATAGAGGGCCAACCACTCCTAAAAAGAGTACCAGTTCAATCACAAAAGTATAAAGAATATCTAACCACTATTTTCAATATCCAAACAAAAAACAAAGGCAAAGCATAACAGAAGAAGCAGAATAGTATTGAGGATCAAATAGTATCATAAAGATTTTGAAGCCTTCCTCCAAATAGAAAAAATTGAATTCATAAAAGGAAAAAATAGTAAAATACAACTAAAAAAAAAATGACTAGATAAAGATTGAAAAAAAGTAATAAGAATAGGAATGTATAATATCAAGAATATTATCAATAAAACAAATCAAAATAATCTTATAGTAGAAATACTGAAACAAGGCATTGGAATCATATGTTTATATGAAATAAAATTAATCAAAGCAAAGGTGAAATGGGTCTTTTAAAATCAAATGATGTACAAGTACTTCTATAGATCAACAAAGATACTCTCTATGGAACAGGAGTTAACATTTTGATAAGAAAAAAAATAGCTTCTATAAAAGAGACTGAAGGATACATAATAGTAGTAAATATGCTTATAAAAAGAAACAAGATCTGTATTATCAAGATTTATATCACCTTAAACA